AAACATTATTATTAATATTTTCTCAGAATTTAATCCGCCCCGCAAAGTAAACACAACTGTCACTTTCCGACTGGAACTGCTTGATTCACAGCTAACCGCTTAAAGGTTTCCCGATACGAGTAAAGTACCGTTTCATGAAAACAATAAACGCAACTCACCTGTGTTATAGCTGTTCCTGACGGGAACCGGAAAGTAACACTGACGTTGAAGCAATGTACAAGAGTACAGCGGCCTTCATTAGCACAATGCTAGTGTTTAATTAAAATCCGCGAATTTGTTAAAAAGTCTATCAAGGCGGACAGACATACGTCACGATACCAATATTTTCTTCGAAATAAGAAAAGTAAGCTAAGAACAAAACACAACGAGAATGAAATCTATCTTCATCCAACAGAAAATGGAAATAGATTCATAAGGATCTACATCTGCGTCCCAAAATGTAATCAAAAAACCACGTTCGCAGAATATGTCTAGAGATGAAGCCTCAGATTTATTTAAATCCGAAGAAGAACGAGAAGAAAATGCATATTCATAAGGAATGTTTCGCTCCGAATTATCTACAATGGAATTCACTTCTGGTTCAGTGGATTCTTTCTAGAGTTATAACTCAACTTCCATTTCGCTCGTTTTTATATCAGGCTGGTAAGCAAAGAAAAGGGCCGACAGAAGACGTATTCTCGTCTCCGCGGCAAAGAAATTACCATCCCCTTTCGCGTTCGCCCTCAACTTCGCCAAACTACAGTCCCAGTTTGAAGCTGATGACCTCTTTGTAAGTAGGATGGCTCCAGAAGTAGTGATTAAAATGTTACTTTCTTGGCTTCGTTTACGAATACAGATGCAATTTATAACATAAATGTGTGCTGTTTCCGCGAGACAAACTCCTGTTATAACACATGGAAAGGGTAAGTTTCCTGGTTCTCACGGCGGCACGTACGAAGACGACGGTCTTCTGGGAATTTGCACCGTGTAGTCTGGTAGAAGCCAATCACCCCTGAAATGTGGGTAAACTTCTGCCAGACTGCAGGGTGCAACGTCCCAGAAGACAGTCGTCTTACAGGTGCCTTCTTCATTTGCAATTTCTCCCCTTTCTCATCCGCACATCATCGTGACTCCCTTTCAATTCCTCCTCTTCGTCGTTTCATCCAAGTCTTCTTTCTTCTTTGTGGAACTCGCAATCCAATTTTGTGGCATAAATGAGCATTATGGAAAATATGGTTCATGGTCTCCTGAGTTGTAACACAGTGCAACATACCTCTATATATTTTAACGATGGTGTGCTGCATTCAATGTTGTACTCTGGACTAAATCCACCGTTCAAAAAACCACGACGTTTCAGGAGATAGCTATTCCCCCCCTTCTTATCACTAGGGCTCTAGTACGACACAAACACTCACTACCGCCCTGCTAAGAAACAGCACACTTTTGTAGGAAGGAATGTAATTGGTTATCAACTTCCTGTCCTAAAAACTGGTACGATGTATCCCGAAACGTCTGTGATGACCTTCAATAATGTGCCGTCCCCTTCAAAATAATGTATTTGAGGACAGCCTCAAGATGACCAAAGTCGGCGGTCTGCATTACACAAATAACTGATGCTACTTCACCGCAAATATTTCTTAGTTAAAAATACTATTTGTTGTGTGAAAGAATAAAACATTACATTTTTTCTAAAAAAACACTTCCACAAAAGGATGCCGGAATTTAAAACTAATAATAATAAGGGTATTGTTTCAAAACAGGTAGTAAAACTGGGTTAAATTACTGCTCAGGGTTAGCGTATAGATGACATGAATCCAAAAATAACGTTAAGAGTTTTTATACTGTCAGCAAATTAATAGGAAAAGAAATAACAGGCATGACCTGAGGGTTGTTAATGGTGAGACGAGACTGGTCATTATACGAGTACCACACGCAGGTTGGCTGGCTGGCTCTATGAGAACGGGGACCTGGTCTGTTAAATGCATGCGTCCTGAATACATTACAGCTTATAATACTCCTCACATTACGAGCTGATTCGCCCTCTTCTGTATCTTAGCAGGACTCGTAAAATGTACAAAAGTGTCCATCTTGCCTCTAAATTATACTTCTTTTAACGTACGTATTATTCAGTAGGTTTATTACTACAACATGTGCTATAATTTCATAATCACTATCTTTACAAAGATAATTTTATAACCTTTGAGTTCGCAGTCGTGTTCATTACATGCATGAAATACAAAATAAATGTTTTTGTTTGGAGGGGTGGGGCCGCCGCGTACACTTTAAGAATGGGCATAGTCTTGAATATACAGCACACACTTTCTGATGGGTCAAATGACACTGGAACGCGATGAAAAATACGCAACCTTGACGACCAATTGTTGGAATGAACTGCTAAGCAACAATGAGACTTCGGATCACGTGAGTGCAAGAATGTCCTCAAGACAGCAAATGGCCTAGGAACACATTGGTGGAACAACGACCTACGTGATGTGGCGTAAAGAACACTTTTGGGATGTCCGTGTACATCGAAGAGAACACGTTTCAATAGTGCAGAACCTTCATAAAATTGCAGTGACAGGCGCATCGCTTAACTGAACCACCAGCTAAATATAAATAAGGGGCAAAAGAACTACGTTTATAGGCATGGTATGTATGCGTAGCGTAAAAGGGTTTAAAAATAAATATACTGTCAACTTTTCAAAAAGGTGTATTCTTTGTTGGTTGCACTCAAATATCGGAAGCCTACCAATAGAGGAACAAATTTTTTTAAACAAAATAACAGCTGTGTAAATACAAGCAGGCCTAGTTCAATCATCCATACTCACCGTTTAAATTGAAAAGAACATGTACATTTTCATGATGGAGTGTGTTCGGCGTGAAACAAGACCCCTCAATAGCCATGACTATCATGTGGAGAACTTTAATTATACTGGCACTGTGAGCCTCGCACCAAAACTATGGATGTAAAAGTACGAGAAGAAAACGGGAACTAGTAGGCTTATTATTAAAGAAAGAAAAAGTTCTAGTGGAGGTTATAACAGCACACAATGGATGGCCCTATTAAACGAGTAACACTTTTTTTAAACCGAAAGGTTTTATGAAATTGAGCTAAGGGTCTCATGTGAAACAGGTTCCGTATCTGAGTTTTGTATCTTAATGAAATTAAGAACTCTTAAACTATTTAAGTGACCAAAAATTGTCAGTTATTTACGGCAAGCTATATCAAATATTATGACTAGGAGAGAGACGTATTATAAAAGGAAACCCAACCGGCCGTAAAATAGTGGAAACTAACAAGCTATACGACTCGTAAAGAAATGCCGTTCAAGCGGCCAAGAGTCTTAAAATTATATGGATCTGCATCCATTATCGGCTTCCCGGTTACGACTAGATCCAATAACATATTGGATATTTCGAAGTACCTTTCTGGGCGGAACGCATAGGCCTTCGGCTCATTGCCTTCTCCCATTAATATATTTATAGAATACTGTTCAGGGGACAAGATGGCGTAGGTAACTACACGAACCAGAGTCTCGTTTGAGAAGCTGGTCGCGGTTCACACCTGTACCACATCTGCGCGTAGCTCAACCAGGGGGTCCGAAAGATAACTTTTCAGCCCTCTCCTCCAGCCCCCTTTACCACAAAACGAAAGCACAATCCAGGTTTAAAAATGTCGTGTAATTCAGTAACTTAAGGGGTTAAAAAAAGTCAAAGAATAATTTCACACAGAAAAGAATTTCCTGCCTGTAAGGAAAAAGAAATGGTTCAACCCCGTTTTCACAAGATCCTAACCGCGGTCACTAACCCCAGTCAAATGAAACCAGTCCTCATCCACCCACTCTACCTCCATAATACCACTTTTTAATATTAATATCCCATGTACGCCTTGGTCTTCCAAGTGGTTTCCTCCCACCACTATTTCCACCCGAAGTCTTGTATGCATTTATTTTGTTCAATGCGTACTACATGCCCCACCCATCTCATCTATGAATAACGGAGCTCGTCTTTTCGTAGTTTTCTCCAGACCCCTCTCATTTCATCCCCAGGTGAAGATGTTTGTTTAGTAATAAAATGGATCTTAAAAATAGGACGTATATTATATTCAATTAGCTCGGGATATGGTACAATTACAGGCTTTGAGAACCTTCGGACTCCTCAAATCTATCAATTCACTCAACGGCTGAATTAAATTTTAAAAGTAAAACCTTTACCGTACAGCTGGTCTGGAACATGCTTAAGTTCTTGGAAGCACCGCTTTAATTTAAAATGCCAAGAATTGCAGGCAAGTTTATTTTAAATTCTAGGCCCCTAATCTTCGGCATAATTCGCGGACGACGAATTTACTGGTAAAATACTGAACAGTCACTTTACAGTGCTGATGGCATCTGCCTATCAACTTTCATAAGCAAAGCAAAAGCATATCAAAGATGACACCGATTACGTCAAACTGTTTGTATATACGCGAGTGAAATGTTCAATTTGTCCCAAACATCAACTTTATGTATATTTTAATGTCAACAATAAGAGATCTTGCCCAACAGCTTAGGCCAAAGAAACCGCAAAATCTAGTAAACAAAGCTCTCTCCGAAGTTCCGTCCTTAGAAGTGAACAGAGCCATCTGTTTCTACAAACGTACGACAAACGGTGCTTTGTAGCTTCAGACAGGAAACTTTGATAGAAACTGTTAAAGAAAACGCTGGTCACTTCAATATAGCAAACGCCTTATCTTCTCGGCTATAAACAGCGCCAACATTTTGAGAGAATTTTTTTTGGAAAACAAATTCTGCTGCTGCAGAACTCTAAGACAGGCATGAAGATTTTATACAGCATTTCACAGGGCCAAAAGCGTCTCATACTCGATTTTCACGCGTGTTCCAACAGTATTTTTGAAACAGAGTTGTTTAACTGGTTACAATGCCAAAACAACTGACTCAAGAATTGCACATGACAGGAGATATGAAACACAATCACTTACGAACTATTTAAAATATCCGAACAAAATGCAAATGTAAACTTACCTTCTTCAAATTTCCGTCGGACGTCCCAAGAAATGCGACTGTGTGTCGTTCAGTGGTGGCCATTGAGACTGAGATTAGCGAAGTGTTTGGGAAGTGGATGGCTGCCTGGCTGCTTATTGGCGACACTCCGGAGATCTTCAACCCCACTTCACAAAAATTCAATATGTTGCCAGTCTCCTGAAAAGAAAGAACAAAAAGTGAGTTCAAGTATTCCACTGCAGCCTGTGAATGTCAGGAATGCGTATTACATTAAGTAGAGCAGGAAGAAGCTCTCTTACATCGGTCAAAAGCGAGCGAAAGGAAGAATAAATAGTTTCTTCGTCTGACACGATCCTGTGATCACGTCGGGAGTGTCATGAGTTACGAACTTTCTCAGGAATTCGAAGTTTGAAGGTTCCTGATAATGGTTCGTTAAGCGTAATATTATTTCGGAGTTTGTCCATCGTCTAAATTATAAAACTGTGTGGCTACGACGTTTAGATGCAACAATAAAATTTCCTGACGCAGTAAAACGTTAAACTTCTCAATTCTTCCTTTCGGTAGCCATGTTGGATATGATGTTGAATGCACAATGCAGAACGGGTAAATATCCCGTGGGAAGGCAACCCTTAAAAGTTACCCTTCTTTCCACCACATTCTGAAAACCCAACGACATTCAGTTTTTTATTTTAAATTTATTTCCCAAGTGGGTTGCGAGTTTAAGAAATTTGTTACAGCGTTCGACTTTAGCACAGATGATACTTACGACTCAGTCGTTATAATTTCTTTGAACACCAGAACCATAAAAAAATAGACTTTCGTCTGTGACTACGAGGCTATTTATTGAAACATGACACAGACCTAATCACATTTTTAAACCCAGCGTTATCGCCAGAATGCATATCAATTATTTCGTCTAAAATGTATTAAGCTGGTTTTTCACTAATCCTATTATTTCAATAACGTTGTTAACTCTTTAAAGACCACTGGCAACTACACGATCCACCTAATTTGTACAATCAATAACTTAATGTTTTATTTTGAGTGACGTATGATTCTCATTCAGCATAATTAACAAGATGATCTTTGTAATGGTAAAATGTTGTGTTTTCTTTAAGGCTCGGACTTAATTTTTAAATATTATTCAGACGAGAACGGTTTCAAAGAGTTAAAGGTCAATTTGAATTTCGGTACCCTGACAATGAGGACGAAGATGGTTCTCGAAACGTTGGTATTTTCTCCATTCCCAGAATTCATGTACTTCGTCGTCGTGAAAGCTTCAGATAATACGCGTGAATTCACTGTTTTACCGTTATAATTCTTACAGGAGTCCGAGAACTTTTGATATAATAACTCATCTAATACAACACGTGTTGAATTCCAATGGGAGTTTCTTGAAAATGAATATAAATAAAGTCTCAATTGGCATATACAACTATCAGTAAAACAGCAGGCCGATCATGCAAGAACAAACATTTCTCTTCCACTTCTATCGAAAAAAAGGTCGTTGAATGCTGAATGCAAATGGTATTTTATGCTGCAAATAAGTTTAATAATTGATGAATAGCTACTTTAATTTACGGAGTTCTTGATACGGAATCTACGTAGGTGGGCTAAAAAAGCTGACATTTTTCCACATAAATATTTATAAACATGGTTCGTATACGTTTTAGAACCCTGTGAATCATTTATATGTATAATATATGTGTTAAAAGTGTTGTTCGTAGAATGAAGCATACAAATTTATCTCACAGGCGTATTTTCCTACTTCCTGCTTTCATTCCACACGCGGCATGTTTACCGCGGGGAATCGCGGACCACCCGTTGCGGAACACAGATGCAGAACCGGAGAAGTTTCGTTTAGAATAAGAAATAAGTTGCTTTGAGACGAGAGTCAATAATGACAAACACTGCAAACTTTTTTTGTTCTAAAAAGAAGTAAATCTTATTTCCCAGGCGTCGCGTGCTTACAGTGCAAGAGTGGCATTTATTTTTGTTTCCATCTAACCCTTTCAATGCTGCCAACTAGGTTCTTTCTTAGACTCTGGGGAATATTTTTGGCTTCAACATTTCAAGCATGACAATATCAGTGAAACTAAATTATCCGGACAGACATTTCAACAAAATGTTTATGATTTTCGTTAACAAAATTAATAAACTCCCGCCGAACATACGCATAAATAATGGTGTCAGTTTTTTTCTTTTCAAAAACCAAAGTTATTTCATGTATTCCTTCCTTAGATATTTCGCTTACGACTGCGTTGGACGATCTCCGAGAAA